ACTAATTTGTTGGTTGATGCATCTCCTTGGAATCCGGTGATAGAGTGGTCGTAGTTCTTCTAAATTCTTGGATTAGAGTTTTTAATTCTTGTTAACTTTTGATTCTAATTAGTGTTATTCTATAAATCAAACCCCCTCTAATTTTATAATCGTATAACGTTATCATCGTTGGGAGACAACTCAGATTGCACCTTTTACTACATAATTTTTATGCAATTCAGTTTTTATTAATTTGTCCGAGCGCGACACTCGCGATCAAATTTTGTCAATTGCTTCATGAGCTCCTCCAATGATGGTTCATTTTTGTGTGGTGCACTTGGTTGTGAGGAAGATGGTTGGTGATGTTGCTGGACTTGTTGTGGTTGATGTTGAGGTGGATGAGATCTATTTGGGCCACCATGATGTCCTTGATATTGATTGTCGTGTTACTGGTTTTGCTGTTGAGAACTATTCCCCCATCTTAGATTTGGATGGTTCCTCCAACCTAGGTTATATCTATTAGAAGATAGATCCCAATTGGGCTGCTGCTGCGAATTTGGAAAAGAAAGTTTATTAGTGTAAATGTTTGCAGCATAGACTTGAGGATTACCTTCTAGAGTATCAGACTCTTGCAGTGTAGGACAACTATCAGTGTAATGGTCTGTAGCTAAGCAAATGCCACACAACATAGCTGGAATGGATGGTGGAGGAGGTGAAGATGCAGCAACACTATTTTGCATGGAAGCTAATTGCTTTACCATGGATGCCAATTCATCAAGCTTGTGCTTTAGCTTACTAGATTCAGTGACTTGTACTTCACTTATATTTCTGGTAACAGAAGAGTTCTACCTTGTTGCAAATTATTGTGAGTTGGCAGCTATATTCTCAATTAAATTCTGGGCTGCAACTGGAGTTTTATCTACCAACGCCTCTCCACTTGCGGCGTCTATCATGCTTCGGTCCAGAGGGTGCAGTCCCTCATAGAAGTATTGGATCAACAATTGATCACTAATTTGGTGGTGAGGGCAGCTAGCACATAGTCTCTTGAACCTTTCCCAATATTCGTAGAAGGTTTCTCTTTCAAGTTGCCTTATCCCACAAATTTCCTTCCTTATGGACACAACTCTTAATGCTGGAAACAATTTCTTCAGGAAAAGTCTCTTCAAGTTGTCCCAACTGGCAATAGATCCTGGAGGGAGATAGTAGAACCAATCCTTGGCTGCATCCATCAGAGAGAATAGAAAAGCCTTTAATTTGACATACTCCTCAGGCACACTTTGTGGCCTTATGGTTGAACAAATAATGTGGAACTCCTTGAGGTGTTTGTGCGGATCCTCACCTGCAAGACCATGAAATCTTGGCAACAAATGTATTAGTCCAGTTTTTAGAACAAAAGGAGCATCAATGTTAGGATACTGTATGCATAAAGTTTGATATGTTACATCCGGTGTAGCCAGTTCCTTTAATATTTTTTCATTGACAGCCATTTTTTCAATTTCAGATTCTAAAGAATGAGGTGATGAATAGATAGATGAAGGAGATGAAGATTCCTCAAAATGTTTAGAACTAGTCCTATGTGTTCTAATGCTACTATGAAATGTCCTGTCAATCTCTAGATCAAGTGGATATAAGTCTCCATGATTTGATCTGGTTATGCACTAGAAACTAACTAAGAGTAATGGAAAGAAGTAAACTAAATGAAATAACAAAGATGCAGAAAATTCAGATAACAATTATGCAGAAAACTAATTTCTAAGTGCAGTAAAATGAAGCATTAAAACTAAACAGCAAAAACAAAAAGAAATTGCAAACTACTGCAAGAAAATGTAATACAGAATCACAAATTCTATAGACTTCTATAGAATTATGCAGCAAAAATAGAACAAAGTGCAGAAAAATAAAAAACAGAACACTAAAATGGAGTAATTAACAAGTTCAATGCAAAATTAACACCAAAGTCCCCAGCAACGGCGCCAATTTGATGAACGATTTTGTTTGAATAAAGATTTATCGCCAATCCTCGTCAAACTATGCAAAATTTGTTATGTAGTCTAGGATGCAAGCCTAGGTTGTCTCCAATGACTTTGGTTGAAAATATACATTAAACATGTTACAGACATTCAGTATAAAAGCAATTAAAAAGGGGGGTTTTATGTGATTCCAAATTTAATGTAAAAGCAAGTGATAAAATTAATGAGTTCAATTAATGAAATGTAGCAATCCTTAGTTCGTTCATATAATTCTATCCCTATTCCTCTTAAGATCCAATACTTTTCCTCTTCCCCTGAATTAAATTAACTCAACAAGCGAGAATTAACCTTGAAACTCCATACGAATTTAAGCAAACTCAATGAACTCCAACTCCTTTTCCTAAGATTAAGCAACCTTAGAAATTAACTTAGAATTTAGCAACCCAAGTTAAGAATCTCATTAAAATGAATTAGGGTTAATTAAGCAATGTCCCTCTCATTCAACCATTAATTCAATTCAAAGAGTTGGGAAATATAAATTCATGAAGGAAAAGAGAATTATATTAACATTCATACCCAGGAATTCAAGAATCCATGAAACTCACTAAGGATTACAAGAAAGTTTAGCCCTCCATCAGGATAGGTTTTACAAATTTAAGATGAAAACAAAAGAAAATCAATGACATCAATGTAAAAATTAAAGGAAAGTGAAGAGTAATTATGAATCAAACCCTAGGATTGGTCCTTAGCTGTCACCCAAGGACGACCTAAGCTTTGCAACTGTTCCCCAAAATGGCAAAAGAATTTAAAAGTGTGTAAAAAATTGTTAACCTAATTCCCAAAAATCTATATATATTAAGTATGACGCCACTTCACAGTGATCACTCTTGTAAACAAGAGTGAACACACGCAGCATTCCTCATGTTTTTCCCTTTCTGTAGTGATCACTCTTGTGTATAATAGTAGTTACTTTGGGTGCGCATATTTACTCTCACTTATGAGAGCAAACACACGTAAAGTGTTCTAGTTTAGTCTTCCCTGGAGTGATCACTTTCACTTCTGAAAGTGGTTATGCGCAGGGTCCTTCATCCTGGGGCTTTCTGGAGTGATCACTGCTGCTTCTGAAAGTGGTTACTTTGGCCTATCCTTTGGAATCAGCTCCCTGGAGTGATCACTATGGAACCTGAGAGTGATTACTCTCAGTTCATATCTTTCCCAGAGTTAAAAATTCATAGAATTTGTCTAGAATCTCCTGCACAATTATTCAAATGCTCAGAATTGCAAAATATATTCACAAAAATTAGTGTAAATAAGGTAAAAGTTAAGGAAGGGTCGTGTCTTGGATTATAATCCAAGTTTCTCAACTTGGAAACCTTTAAATACCCCTTAGCTCGTGACATTTTCATTACAGCGAGGCAATTCTTGCTACAGCGAGACCTTCTGTCGCTGGAGCGAAAAAACAGATACTTTTTTGCCTTTGCTGTCTGACTTTCTAGCTACAACAAGAGCTCCTCACTATAGTAAGAGGGCTCTAGAGAGCTTGATTTTAGACGCTAATTTTTTGCTATAGCGAGAAATCCTGCAACTCACACATTTAAAACTTCCCTAATTTCAAGCAACATGCATCAATAATTATTATACAAATAAAATTAATAAATAACAAAAAATAAGGTGTTACACTTAGTGAAAGAAACAAAGTTTAAGGATCTCATATCTCCTTATTATTACAAAATAGAGACCCTTGAGAAGAGAAATCAAGAAATAAAGAGTAGAATAGGAAAACCAAGTCCCAAGAACTCACCTAGATCCGTACTAAGTAGATGTTCTCACTTGGATTAGGAAGAAGCTCAGCTTTGAGAAGGTTTTCTCTAAGGGAAGAAGGTGAGAGAACAGAGAGAAAATGAGAAAGGAAGACTATCTAGTGAAAAATGAAGGTAATTCTGCGCTCAGGTTCTTATTTTTTTTCTGACTTTTTGCTTAAGCGAGGTCGCTTCTCGCCTGTGCGAGAGGACAGTTGAAGAGATCTTATCTTATTTTGTTTAAGCAAGACTAATCTCGCTTGAGTATAAAAAAAATCTTGCTATGTGTGTGTGTGCGCGTGTGCGTGGGTATAAGCGTGTGAGAAAGATATATGTATATTGTTCAAATAGCTTTGTTGTAAATTTTGGTTTATAAATAAAAATGAGATGGATCTTGGAAGAATATCTCAACAACATATCATGTTATTATAAATTAATATCAGAAACTATTTTAAAAAATTAGGAGAACTAAAACAAAAATATAAAAAATTAAAATTTAATTGTTTTATATAAATTAAATTATATTTAAATCAATACATTTTGATAAAAAAAAATATTGCAACGTGTTTTACTATTCATATTACTATTATTCTTTTCTTTAATGTTGGTACAATGTTTAGAGGAAAGGATTTGCAGTTTTTTTATAATATTTTATTAAATATAAAATAAAATATATATTTTTTATTAAATTGTTTTTAAGAGTATAAAAAAAATCTTGCTAATTGATATCTTAAAACAATAATTAAAGTGTCCTAATATTATTTTACTAAATTATTTTATTAAATATATTTTAATAAATTTCTTAATATTTTTATATAAAAAACATTAATATATTTTTTAAAAAATTTTCAAAAAATAAAAAAAAATATGTGGATATAATTTTTAATAAATTTGAACAAAATATTTGTTAGTGTGTCATAAATTTTTTAAAAATAATTTATATTTTTCTTAAGTGAATAGTTATAATTGTTATAGAGGTGATGATAATATCATGTGTGAAAGGGCATCTTAAAGTCACCTTAAAAATTTACCTTTTTAACATATGTGAGTTTGGACAAGGGGCTTGGAGGGTGCAATGTTAAGGTTCTTTTATATGTCTCCTGTTGCAACCTTTTAAGTGCTATTTCCTGTGTAAAATGTGCAGAGAGGGTGGTGGGGACCAGCAAGGTCATTTTGTATTTTTGTTTAATTGATCATTTTCGTTTCAAAGAAGTAATGATAATAATCTAAAAATTAAGAAAATAAAATCCCTTGATGTAATCGAGCGAAAGGGTGCGTTGAAGCGCCACCATCAGTGCGTCATTGACTACGCCAATTCCACAGCACCTTGTATGGAGGCTCTTACTCTTCACCACCATCGCCACCCTCTATACCCATCATATCACTACTACTGTTCTTCCCTAACCCCATCCACCTCTTACTCTCTCTTTCGCTCGCCCCCTCAATCATCGCCACTTTCAACGTCTTCCATTGTTGCTTCATCTTCTGACCCCTCTCTCCAACACTCAGACCCCAAATCGCACCAATCCTTCAATCCCCTTTCCAAAGTTTCCTCCTTTCTCACCATAACTGCAGCCTCAGCGTTTCTCTTTCTGGGGTTTTGCCAAAATAGGTATGTCAACAAGCCAATAATAACATCATCACCCTCCTCAGTGCTTTCCATTCAAGAGGCGTTGGATGAGAAGATGGAGCTTAAAGATTGTCACATTCAATCCATTTTGCACTTGAAGCTGGAGGAGAAAGTCCCCATTGTGCATAGTTTCAAGAGAGCGAAAACTGCGGATGAGGAAGCTTGGCAAGTGTTGAAAGCGGAGGTTTATAGCAGCAGCGAGGGGTTTGAGTTTGTCAAGATTGGATTTGAAGAGATATTGGAGAAAGAGCGAAAGGCCTATCATGATTGTGTGCTTGAGCACCTGGAAATGGTTGATGAATGTAAGTGCTTGTTGAAGGGGATTAAGGTGGCAATGGATAGATGTGAGAGGGAAAATGCAAGTGTGAAGCATTCCCTTAGATTCTTCACCAAGGTTGTTGCTCATATAAGGGTCTTGGAGGGAGACATGCTTAGTGCTTTGAAGTATTATAAGGAGCTTGACAAAGACTAAGCAGAATTTGTTTCATCACCAAGGAGGGTATTTCAGGCTTCTTTGCAATTTCTTATTATCTTTATTAGGACGAACTTTAATTATAAAATGTTGGTTTATTAGGATGGGGAGTTCTACCGAGTTTTAACAATGGTAGGACAAATGAGCTGAGTCTCCAGCACATGTATAAACTAGTAGGAATTGAGAATATATATACTGCAAATTTGTCCCAGAAGTTTTAAGAATGTTTCTAGCATCTTTGTTATCTGAAGCACTTACATATCCAAGATGTTAATCAATGCATAATTTTTTAAGAATATAGGTTTCTCAAAGTTGATCAATTTTTTCAATCATTATATTTAATTTGATTTACACATTTTTTTAAGATTTGGTTTTACATGTTTTGAAATATTGGAAATCTGTTTCTGATTTCTGAACTGTGGGAAGCAGATTATTCATTTCAGATGATTTTGGATGGATTCTATTGTTTCTAGACCATTATTTTACCATGACTAATTGGTGAACTGAATGAATTTTATTCATTGCTGAGGATCCTGGTGACAGCTACGTGGGAAATTTCTGCAATAGCAAAGTAAAAGCTATGCAATTCTATGATTTTTTAATAAATAATCATAAGCCTTAATTGAGAAAATCTAAAGCCAGAATGCATTTCTGTGAATCAAAACATGCCTCTCCTCTGCATAATGGCAAAAAAGGTGAGGATAATTTGGACTGTACAAACTGTATAATTGTCCACATTTAGAATATGCACTTGCAACATACTGTCGAGTGATTTATATCTTGTCAATTAGATTGTTGATTAATATAGAGTTTTCACGATACAAAATATTCATAATAGCTGATTTCCTTTCACTGGCTTTACCACAGCCAGGCCCAGACCTAGATCTTATGTTGTTTAAAGTTGTCCAGTTTGCATGAATTTAGTATTGGAGAAATGCAAACAGCTCACTTTCTAACACACTTTCCACAACTGGGTGAAATTCAAGTGGGTCTCACTAAATGATGTGGGTCCAACCCCTGATTTAATTTGTACCATTTCCTATTTTGTCAGACCCACATGAATTTTATCTAATGGTGAAAAGTGTGTTTCAGAGTGGGTTGCTAGATCTTTATGGCAGATAGAAATGTGATATAGAATCATTTGTCCCTTTATCTTACAGTTTAACCTTTGTGGATAATTATTTCAAATGAGGTCAATGATAATTGAGCATGATGTATCTGTCTTGTTTTCTCAGCTGAATGAGATCTAAATGATGTCTGGTATGTTTCTACTTGTAAGTTTTATGCAAATAGAGTCACTGAAAAGAACAGTGGTATTCCAAGCTGGTTTCTTCAAATCAGTAAAACAGATTCCTTGTTTATTGTTCTTCAGAGGTTCCTCTCATTGAGAGGTGGTTTTGTTTTAGAAGAAAAAAGAACAAACCAAAACTTTTGTGAGGCTTCCCATGTTCACTGTAATTTAAAGTCCTCCAATTGGAGGACTTTAATTTAGGGCAATTACTGTGCCACTTTAGTTTTCTGAAATTTCGTGGTTCATATTCAGCCAAAACATTTGGTCTCATTAGAATTTTGACCTTTTCAAGAATGTTTCAGCATCGATCACTTCTTCAAACCTCGGGTACTGCTTAGCATCGAATCTTTGCGTGAGGCAATTTGCTGATATTAACTCAAGGTCTCCAAAACTAGATAATCTAAATTATTTTACCCCTATCTTGTTATTGACTATCTTAATGAGAAAATTGAGTGTTTGTTTGCTACTGTGTTGTCTCACCATGTTAAGATTTTCAGTAGTGGATCAATCAATGACATTAACAGTGAGATTTGATACAAGACATCACCATCAACATTTCACCGCAACCAACTTTTCCGTGTTGTCCAAAATTTATTCTGGCACATTTTACAAATGTAGCCTGAAGACTGCTGCTATGGTTTGGTATGACAATATGAATAGGTCTGATTGAATGCTTGGCTATTTGCTAGGACACTGAATCAACAGTGATAGTGATAGCAATAAGCCCATCATAAAAAGAGTTTATTCTAGGAAAAGGAAGAGTGGGCCAGTTAATGTCAAGGCCCAAGTTAGTGCAACCATGGTAGTCAAAATCGCATGCCGGATCATAAAATCGTGCGATTTTACAATCTCCAACTCCCTCTCCGTGCTAGCTCGGTGCCAGGATCGTGATTTAGCCAGATCGGGTGGGATCGCGTGCCAGAAAGTAAAACCGGTAAGCACGGACGATCCCATGTGCTTTTTAACCCAATAACCCGCGACCCGGTTTGCTTGAAACCCTAAAATTGATTTTGTTCTGCGATCCCTAAACCGTTCCTTTGATCTACGATTTCGTTCCTATGCTCTGCAATCCCTATAGCTTACACTCTAGTGACAAAATCTGCTCTTGCGACTCTGCTCTCCACAACCTACTTGTCATAGCGGAATGTTTTACTGTGGTGACCATCGCAGCTATATTTACAGCCATCAACAGTGCCACCGGAGCAAAAGTGTCGACTTTTCCTTTCTATCCCTTGAATGAGGCAGATTTTAGTGTTTCCTTTTTAAAATAATATAACTTTCCCTTTTTGCCCTTAAAATGATTCTGTTTTAAATTTTTTTAAGGATAAAATAGTCTTTGCATCGTATTACATTACCTAATCTATCTTTTCTTTCTCTTCTTTGTCTCTATTTTTATTGGGCATGTGTCCCTAATTTTGTTTTGAGTTAAGGGTGGTTTCCTTCTCTCATTTTTCTCTGTTTATCTTCCTTTATTTTTATATATTATACTATTTTATATATATTTATCTAATTTTGTAAGATCTTACGATCCGTGTTACGATCTTACACTCCTCCTCCGATCCTACGTAGAATCTTGATTTTAACTACCATGAGTGCAACAATCAGTTAGCTTAGGAGGCAGTTACTAGGGATGGTTATTATAAATGTCAGAGTTAGGAGAATTGAGGTGTCTTTTGTGAGTGGAAAAACTTGTGTAGGAGAGTAGCCAGGACCTCTCGAATATTTCTAGCATTGTATGATAGCAGTCTGCACCTATATTGGGTACTGGACTGTGTTCTTGTTCATTCTCAGAAATACAATTCAATCTTTTTCTTTCCTTTGTGCACCAATTCTATCAAATAGCCTCAAATTTGTGAGACGTTTGGAACTTTAAAATGTTCCCTTTGTTGATTAATGAAGGTATTTAATTACAAAAAAGAATTATTGTGATAAAACTGGTCCAGTATAGTAGGAGAAAGAAAGAAAAATATATGTATTATTCACAATAACTCCCTCTAGTCAATGTGACTAGGAGGTAGAAACAATACAATGTGCACACGATACTCTAGAGATCCCGAATCCTCTCCCTTAACCAATTGCAAAACCAAAAACCTTTCCTTTTTTTCACTCCCCTTCCTTTTATATCCCCTTATTCTATTAATGACATGTCCTAGCTACTTTAGTTAGTTACTGATCAGTCTTCACTAATTCCGTTAGTTAAGTTCTGGTCTCCTACCTTATTCCTATTTTGCCTTGTATACACTTTATTTAATATTGGTCTGCTATCATATTGTTAAGTGTTTTTTGATTGATGCAATTTAGCTGCAAAATCATTATCTAGATATTATAAGGAGCTAAAAATAACTACTCATGCCCGCTGTTCAGTAATTTGGATCACTGGCTATGCTTGAGAGTTGCAGGCATAAAAGAACAAAAGTATTGGCAATGATAAAACATTCTGGCATACTGTGACAGATGATGAAGCTTGGGTTTAATAAAAGTCATCATCAGATTTCGTTAACTAAAGGGATGACAAAGTACTTCATTGTTACAATGTGGTGTTTGGTGATTTTGCAATTTCTTCAACGTTGAGCAATTGGAACAGAAGGAATACATTTATGATGATGAAAGGAAGGGAATGCTTGTGTGAATGATTGCTGCTGTCCACTCCTCTAAAGAAAAAGAAAGAACCATAAGCAGCCAAGTTATTTCCATTTCCTTTTTTTCCTCGGTCTGTTGTGCAAAGGGATGAAAGAAGAGAAATGTCATGCTTTTTGATGCTTGTGATCTGAAAATGTTGACCTTGATCTTTATAATAGTACTATAAAATAGAAATATAAAATGAACCCAACATTATGCTCCTCGAAGGTTATATACGACGAATTTGGTGACAGAATGATAACACTAGAATAAATAATGAATGGAATTATTTATCCTGAAAAATGTAGTTGACTATAGTTTTATGTGATTATATTTGAATGACGGTGAGAGTAAGAGAATGAGAGAGAAGGGGGATTTGGTTTTAATATGCGTCTCCATGGTGACAGAATGCTAGTTGAAAAATTAAGGTGGCTGAATCTTTCTGTTGCATGTGATTTGAGAGCCACTTTGTTGTTCCATTTGCTTTTACGTGTGTATCAATGTATGAGCCTGCCTTTATTGACCCAACTCTTCACACGCTATTGTTTGTACTTCTTGTTTTTTCTTTTTCTAATATCCACGTGAACGATGCAGCTTTATCCTGAAAATTATAAAAGCTCTTTACTAAGGTTCTAACTTATGGGCATTTATCTAATAACTGTTCTTTTCCCAAGTTGAATTCTTGTTATGAGTTATTATACTTCAAATTTTAGAAATAATATCCTCCAGTTTGGAGTCTTACATGATTGTCTTGGAAAATTAGATGTCAACTGCAAGGATTATAGACATTTGCCATTGCAGCATTACTTGTGAAAAATGCTTGTCTGCTAGAGTATACTTGCCATCTACCCCTGCTTCTGTTCAGTTGTAACATAAATTAGTTTCAAAATATTACCTATATTTCATCCTTGCTTTAATCATAATTTTATTTTCTCTTGTATCAATGTCATGATCTGCTGAAAAGTCAGCAAATTTTTATTAAATCCCTTAACTCCTCCAAGTTTTACTGTTAGTGGCGAGCAGCATGGCTTTCGTTTTATAGCATGAAAGTTGGATAAGTAACAAGCATCATCGCCTTCCCAAGAACAAAATGTCTAATGTTTTAAATAAAACTCCTATTACTTAGATCTTTTTGGCTATTTGCATTATGACATAAGATACTGAATAAGAATAAAATCTTCTTATTCTATTTGCTAACCGTTGTTAGCCTTTTTCAATATTCTTTCTTTTCCACAACAAATTACAATTATCTCCTACCCTCAAGATTATTGGTGAAGGGGGTGCTTTAAGAGCTTGTGTTACCAAGTAACAAGAACTCAAAGGGAGGGGGCGGGAAGATTTGACTTCTAAAATTTTCACTTTCTTTTTGTAAAAC